CTCTCATGGGGGGTATATTGCCAGAGTTGCCACGCTTGGCGAGCGGGTTGGCAACCGCAGTTTTTTTTTCATTTTTATTTGCTATTATCAGAAGGATGCTGCTGCCCATCCTCTGCCTGCTTACGACACCAACGGGAAGATATGGGGTAGTGAGTATTCTTTCCCGCCACTACGCGGGGAAATTGTATTCTTTCCGGGACAGAGGTTTTTTTGCGAACCAGTGGTAAGAGTAAAAAATTACTTCAATAAGTATTATGTACTGTAATAAAATTATTTTAACAAAAATTATTCTATTTTATTCTATTCTATTCACGGTCCTGAACCACCTGCATCCATCGACTCCCCGCATGTTTTACCAGGTCGTCACCGCATCCAGTGGGGGGTCGCCCTACACATCGCCTACCGGTACTTGGTCCTTCATTGCTGGCCGTATAAGGGAGCTCAAGGACGCTCATCAAGCTATGGAGAGGGCTACGCTCGGGGTATCTCTACGTGATAAACTTAGAAATGAGGATATCCGTAGTAGAACCAGAGTGCCTGACATAGCCCGAAGAACCGATAACCAATAGGGAAAAAAATTTCTCGAGTGGCACCCTCGTGAAGTAATTAAAATAATACAAATGTGAAATTGGAATCTATTAAATTTCCATAAAGGTCTACTTATATACTATGCCTTATATGCCTCCATTTGCAATCAGTGGGCTTGACGATTGCCATACCATAGGTCTGGCACCTTTGACGCCGTTTACCGTTGGGATTATTTTACACCATACCACCACTTCTATAAAAAACACATGATGGTTAAACTGCCATTTCTAGGTGGCCATGATATTTTTCTATGCTCTCGTATAGGTCTCTCTTACGACACCTACATAACGAAATGATGTGATGAATTCTCTTCACCACACGGGAAATATATGTCTAAAGTTGTGACAATTTCGTAGCACTTATAACTTTTGCTATCTAGCGCGAATCAAATATGTCGTTAAAGATTTTAAATTTAAGCACCTTTTTTTATTTAGCCTTTTTTTATTAAGCTTTTGGTCGTACATGCTAAATTTAGCAAAATTAAGCACCTCGATATCTATCTATCTGTCACAACGATTTTTCTCTTATACGGTTTTACATAAGTGATTATTTGGCATAGTGACAAAAACAAACGAATGATTAAAAATGTAACCTATTAGTTTTCGGGAGCAAAAATTAAGTTTAAAAATATGGTCATCGTGTGGATTATCAATTCTAAGTGGACTCTTCGAACCACCATTATTTAATAAATAAAAATTCATGAAAATTCAGTTAAAGTGTAGCCCTAATTGAGATGAATAAGCAAAAATGTTTATATTTTTGACCGATTTTTTATAATTAATTTATTTATTTAAAGTATTCTTTAGAAACTACTTGGAAGGCATTTGCAAAGCTATAAAAATTTGAAACATACTCTACCCACTCATTTGGCTTTGATTAACTTAGATTAGTAAGGACGGAATCATTTTAGACATTATTTCTTCATTCTGCCATATATGTAAATATGAAAGTAAATATACTAAGTTTACATACTGTGGTAATCTGTGGTTTAATTATAGATTATTACAAGAATCACGAGCGTAACGCGCTTCTCTTTATTTTTTTCGCGCACTGTCTTCTACAAACTCAGTCGAGTCGTAGAAAATGTTAATGAGAACGTTAAACATGTGGGTCAGTAGCCTTACAAAGAAAGGTGAATTGTGGTCACTGACACTGGTAATACAATGATATAGAGTCAATGATTTAAATAACATTTTAATGAGTCTTGTTCAAGAAAAATATAACTTAAATACAATATAACAAAATAATTTAAAAGTAAAAACTAAAAGTTACACGTCTACATACATCAAACAAATGGCCACAGACCTCCCGTAATAAAATTCTTAGCAAGTATAGGTAAGCCAGTTAACAGCAAGTAAACGTAAGCAAGAACTGGGTTTTATATTTTGCAAATAAAAGATTGGTCTTATTGAAAACAATTTTTGATTTAAAATTAAACAAAATAGTTCCTCGCCCATAAACAATCTACAATTGGACAAATGGGCGGACTTTGAATCTCCAAGAAATATTTTTATTTCCAGATATGCGGCTTTCCTCGTGTTGTTTTCCTTAACCTGCACGTTGCAAATGAGCATTTACAGTTGAAATTTAAATGAAATTTCCAATTTCACTGGTGCCGACGGGACCGATTTCGGGATGGTCCAGCAAACACAGCTTAATTTTTGCTTTGTTTCAATTTGATAATTAAATTATAATAACAATAAAAGTTAATAAGCTGTAGTTATTATAACAGTAATAGGAAGTGTGAGGGGGTCAAAACATCTAATTCATACATACTTTTTAACATGCTTTTATTAGGTATGTATCTTTGTAATGAAATTTTTGAATGTGATTTTCATCTCATTCAAAATTGATTTAAAACTTCGCACACTTATCAAGGGCCGATGACAATGCAATAATTTAAATAGGTTGTTCCATTATCCTTGCCAGTATCCTCAGGATTTGCGAATAATTCATAAAACAACTACTTACGATTTCTGCCAGTTCAATCTACTGTAAGCCGCGTAAAAGAACTTCGTTCCAAAAAAAACATGCTTTTGTAGTTAGCCGCACAAAAAAATTGAAAGTAAATAATAGTTTAAAAAAAAACTAAAAAACACGCTTTTGTAGGTAACGGAACTAAAAAGAAGAAAATAATTTTCAATAAGTCTAAAATAAGAAAATAGTAATTAACATAAAAAATCATTGGGTGCTTGATGTCCTTTGTTGTAAATATTTTGTGGATATTTGTAAAATTAGCCTCATCACAAAAATATCTGAAAAAGCATCCCACGCTTTTTTACAATAAAATGATTTTTTATGTTATGCACTATTTTCTTATTTTGAAGTTATTGAAAATTATTTTCCACTTTTTAGTTCCGTTATCTACAAAAGCGTGTTTTTCAGTTTTTTTTTAAACTATTATTTATTTTATTCATACTAGGTTGTATTTAAATAACTTTATGTTTCCAAATTGCTTGCACTGCTGTATTCTGAACTAAAGGGCACGGTTAGCCAGTATTATACAGACCCTTTTTAATGGAAAAGAGGCATTCCATCTTAGTCCTCACGGGTGATAACGATTCTGCATTTTGATACTTTATTGAGGATAGATGTAGATGTATATGGGTCACAGCAACCACTTACCATCAGGTGGACTGTGTGCTCGCTTGTCACCCTATCCTACAAAAAAAAAGAAAAAAAGCTGAAGTAGCCACTTACAATGAGGTGGACTGGAAGTTCTTTTGTCACTTCAGCTTTATAAAGAAAAGCCAAATCTAAGTCATCATATTCACCAACGATAAGCTAAGAATATTACAAGTGCAATCAAACGTGACGCAACAGTAGCAACAAAGACTTTTTTGGTCACTTTGTACTGCTTTAATTTCGATATCTGATGGTATGCAATATTGTCTATTAGTCACGCGTTAGTCATGCAAATTTGTAATGGCCTTATGATTTATTCGTCGAACTGGTCTATGTTAACGTACGGCTTCGGATGGAGCTTAACATTATGCTAAAGATATAAGACACATCGAATAAAAGTTAAACATTGAAAAAATTGCATTTCATCAATCAATGTCACAATAAGTAATGTAGAATATTTAGATATTAAATTGATATAGATACAGATTGATAATAGATATAGATTGATTGATATTAAACTGTATGCACCTACCATATATTTTTGCTAGATTTTAAAGATCTACTAAAACACAATAGAAGGGGTACGCAGATTTAGATTTCATAATACTAAATACAATAAATGTGACAAAACCTATCAAAATACAAGGAAACGTGTGCAGTTTCAAATAAGAAGATTTCAAATAATTTGTGCCGTGTATTAGTGACGTAAGAGATTTCATTAATCCATTTGTTCTTGATCAAATGCCGTAATAGGAGGCTATGGGAAGGCTTTCAACCAATGGCGATATACTACCTCGTTTACGCCAGATGTAATATTCTATAGTATAGTACCAATAGCAATGTCCAAGATGCGAGACGTCGTGTTCTGCAATCAGAATTACGCCTGAATACCATGACGATTAAGGCCAATTCTTTCTACAGCGGGTGATACACAATACACATGTACAGTAGTAGACTATTAGATTCTTTTTAAAAACGTTACGGCCGCACTAGGATTTTTTCCTGTGTCGTGGAGGCAGTTTACAAACATAAATTGCACGACGACAAACATCCAGACCCGGAACAATTATTTGTAGGCTATACAAATACTTGTTCCGTGCGGAATTCGAACCCGCGGCCCCCAGTGCAACAACTAATTGCTAAGCCACGGAGCCACGGAGCCGTCTAAATTGATGATGCAGTGGCCCGTAGACATTTTTATTTATCTTCGATTAAAAGTCAAAATGTAGGTGCTATCCCTGAGAACTAAAATGGAATGCCTCTTCAGCAGTGGTATGCATCTGCGTTTCCCATCACTCGCCATATTAAACACAGCATAATAATATCCACTACCGCGTATTGCAGTAACATATAAGAATTGACAGAGGTAAACAAACCAAGAGATGGGCAGCAGCACCTTCTCAATAACGACTAGAATATAAAAAACTGCGGTTGCCGCTAGGCGTGGTAACTATGGCAAATATATCCCTTATGAAGCAATCTATGGGGAGGCTTATGTTCAGTAGTGTACTTTTAATGGCTGTAATGAATGATGATGAATGAATTATTCTGTGCTAGCGTAGTCCTTTCGCGCTCAAGCACACCCATTCGTGCTACAGCCAATACTCTGTAACGTGGCTCTACCTCATTTTATTTTACTAAGTACTCTGCTAATTGATAGATCAAGTTCTGCCGATCGACTGATAGCGGAAAATCTATTTATATACCATGAACCCAAATTATAAAGACTAATGATAGAGAACAGCATTCAACGGTAAATATGAAGGCAACGTCAAAAGAAAGCTCACCTAGGTGGTGGAGGCGGCGGCTCCCTAGACCGTCTCGGCAACAACCGCGGGCTGTTAGGCGTGCTGGCTGATTGACCCGACCCGGTGTGGTTTGTGAACCGGGACAGCGGGTCGAATATCTGCGACAGCCGCCGCGACCGCTCCTCCGACATTATCAGCACTTATCACAACACAATACAACACAACACTTAACACTAATTAACATCACATCACTACGCGGCGGACAACGCGCAAATAACTATTTCGAATGATTTATAGTACGGAAGTGGTTATCGCGTGTCGCTGACAGATGGCGTTGCGCACACTGACACGAGATTTGACTCGCAAATCGCGCTGCCATTTTGTTGCGTCTGATGTATTTCACAGTTTGATGCACCTTTGCACGTCGTATTTCTAGCGCTGAAAAAGAAATAAATGAGATTAGTTAGACAGGTTGGTGTGAAACTAAAACAGGTGAGTCAATTAGTTTGTGTGAAATTTTGGACGGCTTACAAAAGTATATCGAGTTACAGCTTACAGCGTAGTTTCATTTCGACAATGGTAGCACCATTGTCGAAATGAAACTACGCTGTGGCAGCTATGGTAAATACCTCCCTTATTAAGCAATTTATGGGGCAGGCCTATGTTAAGCAGTGGACTTCCATAGGCTGTAATAAATACAAAAAAATATACAGGTTTGTAAATACGTGGTAAAGCCATGCTGCAGCTACTATGGTTGTAGCAAGAATGGGGCGTATCGGCCGGGGAAGGACCACGCTTTCACGGGCTATGGACCACAACCATCTACTTACTATCAGATGGACTGTGTGCTCATTTGTCAACCTTATTCTATAAGGTAAAAAATACGTGGTAGAGCCATACGGTTTCACAAAATACCCGCGTAAAATAGTAGCCTAATATTGCTGTTTCGTACGGTAAGTGTAGAGACCCTTTTTACTGAAACCGAGGCATTATTTTTTAATCCTCAAAGGAAAGTTCTTGCTTCAGTGGGGCCCCCATACATCCAAACTAGCAAGCAGACTAAGTTCTGCAGCCTATGCTGTAATAAGATTAGAGGTCTCACTAGTGTCGAGACAGCTAGATTAGTTAATTTCAGTTGTTTCCAATAGCATAATGTCTTATGGGATTTTGCTATGGAGAAATGCGGCTGATTTAGAAACTATTTTTGTTTTACAAAAGAGGGTCATTAGAGCTATTTACAACCTAAAACCGAGAGAGTCTCTTCGGGAAATTTTAAAGAAATAAATATATTAACTATGGCCTCTCAGTATATTTACGAAAATTTAATGTATGTTCACAAAAACAAAGGTAGTTTTAATAAAAAAGTGATATACACTCTGTAAACACTAGGAACAAACACAATCGAGTGATACCAGCTTCTCGACTCCACAAAGTCAGTAATTCATTCATGCCGCAATTAAAATTCAATCATATACGCTATTACAACAAAGTCCCAGAAAAAATACAAGCTCTGTCTATTACCAAGTTTAAATATTTTATTAAACTAAAACTGTACAAAAAGGATTATTATAATATAAATTAATACATGGTTGATAATAACCTCTGGGATAGAGGTGGTCGCTTTCAAGCTGTTTCTAAAATAAATTTTGTAAATAATCTGTACAACCATTCATGTAAAATTTATTTAAAAAAGTCCCTCTGGGTTTCTTGCTGGTTCTTCCCAGGACAAAGGTTTTTTTCGAACCAGTGGTAAAGTAAAAAATGACTTTCAATAAGAATTACACATGTGATCTAAGTATATTGAATTAAAAAAAATTCTACTCTCTTATATTCTATTCTCTTCTATTCTATACCGACAACGCATCTGCATTTTGATTCGTAATCGAGGATAGATGTAGATGTCTATGGGCCCTATGGCCCATAGACATCTACGTACCATAGTACGTACATATAACTCAATGGTGCAGATCATGTTTTATATTTTCTGGTAATTGAATGTTTGTTCAGTAACACCTTTTTATGATTAATTACAGATTTTTTTGTCGAAATATAAAAAGTTATGGTGAAGACGAAGCACGAATCAGTTCGCTCGACCAGGAGAGACCACTCTCAAACACAGTATCAGGGAGCAGCGTAAAATTGCAGTGTAATACTGCTGTGTTTCATATAGTAAGTGAAGAGCATAGTAGCTGAGTTGGTGGGTGGCTGGTCGACAATTTTCGTTACAGCATTCTAATAAATTATTTATTTTATTCTACTAGTCGACAATTTTCGTTACAGCATTCTAATAAATTATTTATTTTATTCTATTGTTTTGTAATGATGATTTTGTATTGATAATGACTTCTTGATTTCTTACATCGTTCACCAAAATCATACACTCTAATTTTTTATTTAATACTAGCTTTTGCCCGCGACTTCGTCCGCGTATATATTATACTTTAAACCAAAGGTGATCCATTCATAATCGCACTTTCATAGTAAATGCCATCACCCTCCTTAGGGATGATTTCCGTGATCAAAGCTATCCTATTTCCTTCCCCGGGACTTCAACCATCTCGCTACCAAATTTCATCTAAATCGGTTCAGCGGTTTAAGCGTGAAGAGGTACATTTGCTCACGCGGCGATGAACAATGTTTTCCCCCACCTCGCCCGCAGTACACCTGACGGCCCTGCACTAAGTGCACTAGTAATATTATTTATTCTGTGCGTGCGCGCGCCGGACCGCACAATTTTATATCGTTTTTACTTTTACCTACAATATTTGATCAAATTATGTACGTATTTTAAAAGATAAAGTTTATCTAAGTTGAACATCAGAAGCGATTAAAATATTACTTACTTACTTACTTATTTATCTTCACGCACAATCCCTGACGGGGTAGCCAGAGAGAACAGATCGCCAAGTGTCACGACCCTTACAAACCTCTTTCGCTTCTTTCAGATTCATTATCTTCTTCATGCATGCACGTCTAGGTATCCGAGTACTCTTGACCCTACCCTCTTCGAGCAATTTGTTCACATGGTCTTCGAAAGTTAGTCTCGGTCTACCTCGACACCTTTTAATATTAACTTTCGCGCTATATATTTTCTTCACCATTCGGTCTTCACTCATTCGCTCAACGTGCCCAAACCACCGAAGCACGCCCTTATCAATTTTTGTGATAAGGTCATCTTTCAAACCTGCCATATTGCGAATCTCTTCGTTTCGCTTTCGGTCGGCCATAGTAACGCCGCACATTTTACGAAGAGATCGCATCTCCACTGCATTCAACTTACTTTTATGCTTCTTCTGGCATACCCAGGTTTCGCTGCCATATAACAAAGTCGGTACCAACACTGCGTTATGTATTGCAAGGCGTGCACTCTTCGCTACGCCTTGCCTTTTGACTAACGCAGTCAGGGCACCATTGACTTTGTTCCCGGCAGCGACACGCCTGTCCACATCTAAATCACATCTTCCATCCCGGTTAAAAGCACTCCCCAAGTATACAATTTCATTTACCTGTTCTAGACATTCCTGATTTACCCATATTTCACACTTCGTTCTCTCTTCGTCCCTTTCAAATACCAGAACCTTAGTTTTATTAGCATTCAAACGGAGACCTTTAATTTCACATTCCTCTTTCATACACGTGACTAATGCCTGCAGTTCTGCCCCTGATGGTGCAATAAGCACTGCATCATCAGCATACAGCAGACAATTTACTTTTATGTCACCCAATTTCACACCCAAACAGCTATCTTTCAGCTTCTGTAAACAGCTGTCGAGATACAGTATGAACAGCCAGGAAGACATGACTCAACCCTGCTTTACGCCCGTTTGGACGTTAAACATGGGTGACACATCATGCCCTACCCGCACACAGGCTTTACAGTCACAGTAAAGAGACTGCACAGCCCTTAGCAATCGACCATCCACACCATACCCCGGCAACAGTTCCCACATTTTCTTCCTTACAACCTTATCAAATGCTTTCTCAAGATCCACAAAAGCACAGAAAATCTTCTGGTTAGCAGCCAGAAGCTTTTCCGTGATCATGCGGAGAGAAAACATTTGATCCGTGCATTCTCTTCCAGGTCTAAATCCGCATTGGGCCTCCCATAGAAATCTTTCCGATTTCTCTTGCATCCTACGTGTCAAAACCTTCGAGTAAACTTTACTTGCTAAACTGGTCAAGCTGATCGCCCGATAGCACCCGCAGTCAAAATGTGAACCTTTACCTTTATATAAAGGCACAATGACTGCGGATCGCCAATCATCCGGGACATCCCCCGTCCGCCAGCACAAATTGCACAGCAGATGGAAGCTGTCCCAGACGCGAGGCCCACCATACTTGACCATTTCAGCAGTAACTCTGTCTAGTCCCGCAGCCTTACCACATTTCAAACTTTGAATCGCACGTTCAATCTCTTTCATACTGATGACCTCAGTGTCATCGAGGTCCGGGTCTGGCGTACCAGTCACGGCGTCATCGTAAAATATTTATTTTAATAAAATACATTTTTTACTGCAAAATGTGCATTGGAAATAAAGTATCAAATTTTATTTTATTTATGGTTAACTATATTGGTAATAATGGCTTACACATAAAAGATTGGTAAATACTGTCGCGGACTTTTTTGTACAACTATTTAGGAGAAACAATTCCACCATACATTATATTTGTGTAACAGTTTGTGCACAAATATCTCGCAGATGACAGATTTTTTTCTGACTTACTTAACACTTATCGTTATATTTTGACCAATTTACACAATATCTTTATTAAATATAGCCTATATGCTACTCTGATGTATGAGCTATATTATTGTAAAGTTTCATTAAAATACATTCAGTAGTTTTTGCGTGGATGCTAAACAAACATCCATATATCCTCACAAACTTTCACGTAGGGTTAGTAGGACTAGACAAGAATTTCAAAGTTATGGTGCTGTGACACATTAGGACAGGCGGATAGAAAGCAATTAAATGGTTTCTTTGCATCAGACCGGTACCCTAATAACATCAAATGTGACATAAGCACGTCTATTAAACTATTTTCGAGATCATTAACGACTTGACGCAGGACAGAACGATTATAGTGTTACAAAAATTATCTACGATTTGGTCTCCAATTACAGGGAGCAGAAAGCTATAAAAACCATCATTAGTTATTGCGGATGTTGTAAAATTTATGATTAGAATTT